AAACTGTAATTTCCTCATTTGTGGCAAAACTTCAGTACAAACAAAATTTAGGACGAGGGGAATTTAGCCTGTTTCTATATGTATAAACAGTAGAATAACACAAGACTTGCTTACCTATTGTCAGCCTTTGGAGGCTTTCCATTCTGACGTCAATGATTTAAATACTTTTTTTTTTTTTTGAGGTGGGGGTAATAGTCACTTTATTCTGAGTGTCATCTTTAGGCCAAGGCTGTTGATTCAAAGAAATTCTTATAACAAACTTACCTTATTGGATTCTGTACCTTTTCCCAAGTACAAATACAGAAGAATATCCAAAATGATAAAAACTGATAGAAGCAACAACAAATTAGGAACTTAAATTAAAATTTAAAGACAGCTACCAACAATTCTGGCTGCAACAGCCCCCCTCGACACCTGGATTATGGGCTATAATACAAGAGTTTTTACGTGCATTCCCTTCACTAGTGGACCACAGCTGAGTGTGGTTACAAATCTGTTAATGAAAAAAAGGAAGTGGGAGTGGGGACCCAAAGCCCATCTGTAGGCAATTGGACATCCCCTTAAGGAAGGGTCTGAGGGAAGAGATGAGCCAGTCAGGGTGCAGTGTGGCACAGATGAAACATACATCTTTCCTCTAGTTCCTAAATGCTTCCCACCCCCCACCCCCCCTCCATCATCCCAATTCTACCTTACAAATCTGGCTAGACCAGAGGATGTACATTGGTACAGATAGGAACTGGAAATCCAGGGAATCCAGGGCGGATGATCCCTTAAGGACCAGTGGTGATAGTGGCGATACCAGGAGGGTGGAGTGGAAAGGGGGAACCGATTACAAGGATCTACATATAACCTCCTCCCTGGGGGACGGACAACAGAAAAGTGGGTGAAGGGAGACATCGGACAGTGTAAGATATGACTAATTTATAAATTATTGTGTTCATGAGGGAGGGGGGAGCAGGGAAGGAGGGGGAAAATGAGCTGATGTCGGGGGCTTAAGTGTTTTGAGAATGATGAGGGCAATGTACAAATGTGCTTTGCACAATTGATATATGTATGGATTATGATATGAGTTGTATGAGCCCCTAATAAAATGATTAAAAAATGTTTTGTAAACAAAATTAAATAAATGGCTTTGGAAAAAAAAATCCATGGGGGGGGGGGTTCCCCTCTGTATACAATTCTTTTAAAAGGAGACTTAATTATGGAAGTGTATGATATATGAATTTTATATCAATAAAACTAATTAAAAAAAAAAACTAACAGCAAATAGTTCATCAGTGATTTAAGAATGCTGCTGATAAAAATAGAACCAAACCTTAACAAATTCATAGTGCATCAAATTCATCCTTTTCATTAGGGTTACTGTATATACTCGAGTGTAAGCCAGCCCAAATATCAGCTGAAGCATCTAGTTTTACCACAAAAACTGCATTAAAAATGTGCTGAAAAAACTCGGCTTATACACAAGTATATCCACAGTATTTTTAGTGGCCATGTTGGGTGGAAGAGAACTGATGAGCTGGAGGGGCAGAATATGGTGAGCATGACAACAGAATAGCATGAGGACACATTGTGAAGGTTTTGGGTACCAGAGGAAGTCATCTGCCCACAGAACTGCAACAATCAGGTCCACTGGTCCTGGTCACATGCTTTCCCTTGGCCCCTTACCTATCACCTCCAACAGCCTTTATTGCAGCATATAGGGGAAGGTCTGCCATATCCCCAATGATCCTAAATGCCCATGCGGGTTGGGGATGTTAGGGGAGACCTCTTCTGGAGAAGGTCTCACTACAAGGAGTTAGTAGCAAAGGGGCTCTTTCCACCAGGAAAGGAATGGTGCAATGGACGTCCATAAAAAGCCTCTCCAAGGGCATTCTTACCTTGCATGGAATGGAGGTGACACTAGTGAAATTCGGGAAGTAGAGAACAATGTAGTCAAGCTCAGAAAACGGAGGTAAGACCATGTTGAACCAGGGCCAAGAATTGTGGGCCCAGCCAAGGAGCACCACAGCAACAGAGCCATAGGCTGGGGAGTAGGAAACAGCAGGGCTCTTTCATGTGGAGAACTGAGTCTGGAGGGACCCTCCAACCAGCATACCTGTGGGGCTTGGGGAAAATCCCATAAGGCCCAAAGGCCATGCTGGTGCAGGGAGACGTCTGTGGAAGGACTATTTGGCTAATTTTAAGACTTGTGAAAGAGGTCTGAAAGGTCACCCTGCTACAAGGAACTAGGTTGGAGGCACTGGGGTTACCAGGGACCCTTTGCTGGCAATGAGAAAACCCAGATATTCTTCCTGAGGAGTGAGAAGTCGAGGTAGGGGCGTAACCCAGGCCAGGAAGGAATACCAGGTAAGCAGGCATGGATATTGCTCAGCACAGGTGGACGTTGAGCTGGAAAAACAACTGCTCCACTCCTGTCCTCTCCCTGATCTACACTCAAAGCGGTCCCCGAGGTTGGGGCAATTTCCTCAGCTCAGAATTACCATTTGGTATCCATTAAGAGCTGCCAGCATCCCTTCTCTAAGAAATGTGGTGAAGAAAACAAGGGAAATCCTGAAACCTGCAGGATCTGAGGAAACGAACCATTTATTCCATTTCTCCTTCAACACGATAAGAGGCTGTTGCCAGAATCAGAGTAAGGGATGAGGGGAAGAGAGGAGTGTGGACCATCCAAAAATAAAAGGCACTTTTGGAAGTCTGGGTCTCTAGCTGGGGATGAAAAGTATACGGGAGGATGCAGGGCAGGTGGTCTGAAGAGGCTGATCCTTCTGTAAAGGGACTGGGTGGTGCAGAAAGTGCAGAGGGCTGAAGTGGGAAGCTAATTTTAAGCACAGATTCCCAGCCCAACCTCAGGGTTGTAGATTCCAGGCTCCCTGGGTTAAGTTAAAGGAACAGCAGAAGCAGGTGGGGTTTTTGTTTTTGGTAGGAGGCAGATGGCAGAATTTCTTTAGCATGTACAGACAGATAGCTGGGAAGCACCTGTGTAGCACCAGGGGCTCAGGTCACCCACTTGTCCATCTGTGCAGAATACCCATGGAGCCAAGCTAATATGGCCCAAGTCATGGGCAGCAAGCTGGATATAGGGGTGTGTGACAGCAAGGGACCTCCCACAACCACCAAACAAACAAGTCATTAAGTCGATTCTAATTCACAATGACCTATATAGTTTATATAAGTAAATCTTTAAGGGGCAGACCACTGCATCTTTCTCCTGGGGAGGGGCTGGTGGGTTTCATCTGCCTACACTGTGGCTTGCAATTCAGCGCTTATCCACCAGGGTTACTTTCCTATGATCAGAGAAAGAGCATGTGAGTTGGGGGAAGACATCAGTATTGCAAAAGTGAGAGGTCAACCAATTGGGGGTGCCAGGGAAATAGTTGATGTCTACAAAAAAACCCTCCATCTCAAATAAAATTTAAGGAGGCTATTTATTAAATCTTAAAGGGACAAAGACACAGACACAACTCCCAGATGGGACAGGCCATTAGCACAGTTTCATAATGGCATCTGAAGAGTCAGCGTCAGGGCACTAGTTAGTTAAAGCATGGAACAAAATCATAATTGGTGGCAGATCAATACATCAGTTACAGGTAGGACTACAGACTTGGGAACAGGACCATGATGGAAACATGTTAGAAAGAGCTTACAAGATGGGTCTGTGGCCTTCCAGGCAGTCAGAGCATTCACCACTCATGACTATAGGGCCCCTGGGAACTGTCCCAGTAAGGTATGCTCCCTCAAGGACACACCCATGCAAGCCCCAGTGGGAGACTGCCCTTCCCAGGGCAGCCTGGAGAGGGGTGGAGGTAATCCAATTTCTAATGCACTGTCTCTCAAAGCAAGATTACATCAGTGGTTCCCAACCTGTGGGTCGGGACCCCTTTGGGGGTTGAACGATCCTTTCACAGGGGCTGCCCAATTCATAACAGTAGCAAAATTACAGTTATGAAGTAGCAACGAAAATGATTTTATGGTTGGGGGTCACCACACCTGAGGAGCTCGGCATTACGAAGGTTGAGAACAACTGATCTCATTCTCAACTAACAATCAGAAGGTATTCAGTGGAGGCTTAATCCACATGGGGCTCTGTAGATGGATTTTGGGTTTTTACTGTCATTCATAGCCTCCTGCTAACGGGGGTTCTCGGAATTTAAGCTCTACTACATTACTATAGAACTTAAGGGCCAAGAAACCACAGTCCTCATATTTTTACGGTGTATCCCCTAGATCTAAAAAAAAACTGGTTCCAGGGGATGGTCACTAAATGATTGTAACGTTCACTCTACCAGGCGCTGTTCTGGACGATTTACGTATCTGAAACGGTTTACTCTCCATTATACCATGAGGAAGTATAATCTCAGTTCCAAATCTCAGTTCACAGACGCAAAACTAAGGTTAATTTATGCTACAAACCGGAAGGTACATATTTCTGCATAATTCCCCTTTTATTTTGCACAGAGAACTGCGATCATTCCGATCCGCTTTCCTTAGACGTCCTCTGTCATGAAACATTTTTAGGCTTTGAGTTCAACTAAGCATGGTTTGAAAACCTGTTTTAAGTCTCTTTGGGACAGTTCGTTTTTTAATTGCCCACGAGTACTCACAGGTCCAACCTCGAATCTGGCTCCCCTTCCAGGGCCCGCGGAACTGCGAAGTGGAAGGGGCGGGCGCCCGTCGCGCCGCGTACCGGAAGGAGAAGCCGTCCGGGTAGCCTTACGGGAAAGTGTGCCGTAAGCTTTGGAAGCAGAAAAGTCCCATCCACGTTCGAATACACTTTTCAACACTCGGTTCAGAATGTGGTGCTTTCAAATTACACTGCGTTTCAGAAGGGAAACTGCCCTGAAAAGTAACCTACAGCTTGTACCCTATGCACCCACCCGCTTTCGCACAAGTGAAGCCTAGGGGCCGCTCTTCAGCGCCGGAGGAGACGGCACTTCCGGTTCCGGCGGTGGAGGGGGCGGAGCAGGTATTTCAGGTTCCGGCAGCGGCGACTCGGTCTTTTTCTCCGGTGAAGAGCCGCGCGAGGTGGTGTGTCGGAGCTATCCGGTGCCATCCTTGTCGCTGCGGCGACCCCCGCACCTGCCGCCGCCATGACTGAGCAGATGACCCTTCGTGGCACCCTCAAGGGCCACAACGGCTGGGTAACGCAGATCGCTACCACGCCACAGTTCCCCGACATGATACTGTCTGCCTCGCGAGGTACGTGGTGGATTACAGGGCTGGAGGAGGGGTGCACGCGCTGTGCTGGGCGGGTGGCGCGTGACCCGCAGGCCCAATAGACAAACCACAT